ATGGCAATGAGCGGCAGCTCCTCTTAAATTTTTCTCTGCTTGTCGGGCAGCACTTTGAGGTTGACCAAGGCCTCATAGACTTCATTACTGCTGGGCCACATGGCCCAAGGCTCCTGGGCACAATGAATCTGTGGTCATGGATTCACCTCTTACATTTAATGACATGTGCTTTTGGGCTTTCACAAGTGGTCTTTGGTTGAGATGGAAGGAAAAGATGCAAGGTCACAAAACTTCTCACCGCCCAGGGACCCCCCCACCACTTTCACTCAGCGACTACATGGCCATTTCACTAAATTCCTGAGGACATGGCCAACAGAAACAACAACACAGGGAGGTGCCTTATGCAGAGTTTCATGGAAGGCTGGCTGGAACCCTTTAGACCATTTACCTACACCTGTTGGGATTTCTCTAGCATGAAATGCTCCAGAGGCAGTCATACCATAAGCTTGGATCTTCCAACCCATTGAGTGGAAGGGTCGTAGCCCTGGCTAAATGAGCACTGAATTCTAGAGAGACCAAGAGACCATCTAAGTTCTGAATCCTGAGTCCTGAATCCTGGAAGTTGGCCAGGAAGCAGGTGTCACTGACTCTGATCCACAGAAGCAGTCCCACGGCTCAGGTTGCTCTCCTGATGTGGCAAATCTTCACTGCTTGTTAGCCCATCCATTTACTCAACCAGATTTTTCAAATAAGTGTTTTCCTCCTTTTCCCACTGTACTCAGTGGAAGGAATGGTCTAAACAGCAATTCCTGGAAACCAGGTCACCATGTATATACAATCTATTTTTGAGACAGAATCTCGCTCTTGTTACCCAGGTTGTAGTGCAATGGCATGATCTTGGCTCACTACAACCTCAGCCTCCCGAGTAGCTGGGATTACAGGTACACACCACCACACCCAGCTTATTTTTTGTATTTTTAGTAGAGATGGGGTTTCACTATGTTGGCCTGGCTGGTTGCAAGCTCCTGACCTCAGGCAATCCACCCACCTTGGCCTCCCAAAGTGCTGGGTTTACAGGCGTGAGCCATCGTGCCCAGCCACATGTATATACAGTCATATATGTTAATGTCACATACGAGAAAGAAAATGCAGAGGTACCAGTAGTGGCCACCTAAGCAGTGTAACATAGAGGTAATAAAAATAAATAGCTGGGTAGCATCTATCTATGCCATGATTAAAATATATATCAATAAATGATAACTTCTAAGAGAATAATCCCTAAATTGTAACATGTAAGAGAATAATCTCTATATGTAATACATGACTGTGATGCTGACAGACAAACCTCGGAGTACCGTCTGAAGGCACTTCTCATCACCTTCACCTCATGAGCCAGATAGTGTGAAATGAGAAGCAGAGATCTGAAACGTGTGGCAAGCCTCTCTGCAAGGCAGTAGAGTAACGTTCTACACGAGCAAATCAAAGCAATCTCCTCAAAAATGTCGCTGGATGTATGGTGTGGGATGTGTGTCCTTAACTATAATGGAGTTAATGCTTTAAGTAGGTAATCTTTTTACATGAACAGGATTCTAAATGCCTTATTAGCTGTCAATTAGCCAGAAGTTGTTCTCATTGCTAAAAGGGAGACCCTGCCATGAACCAGCATTTCCCAGGTGGAGGTTACTTGCAGACATCAACTTCTAACAGGGTAAATGTCCTGTTTTTTTAGTCAGGGGAAACTGACTTTCAAAAATGGTCTCTGGCTGAGGGATCCCATCGTGAGTGGGGGATTTGCCAAGTCACTTCTCCCTGTTCCTGCTGGGTTTGGGGATGGTGAACCGAGTGAAGACACAAACTCTGAGAGGGAACCAGGTTCTCAGATGCTGGAACTCCTCTCCTCCATGACCTTCTCTTCTGCTATGCCTGGGTCCTATGTCTTGTCATTCCTTAGGCCTCCTTCTGCCCAAGAACCAGGCCCCCCCCTTTTTTTTTTCTGGTGGTGGCACATTCCTGTAATCCCAGCTACTCGGGAGGCTGAGGCTGGAGGATCGCTTGAACCAGGGAGGCGAGGTTGCAGTGAGCCGAGGTCGCACCATTGCACTCCAGCCTGGGCAACAAGAGCGACATTCTGTCTAAAAAAAAAAGAAAACTTGTGATAAACGTCCCTTTCCGCTGACTCCTGACTTCCTGGTTTCCCTTCATCTCCACTGACATCAGGACATTCCTGAGCATCAGAAAAGTCCTGCAATTATAGCCATTTAGAACTATTGAAAAATGCAGGCACTCTCTTCCAAACCAGTATTTGTTAAAGCTGCAGAGAGTATTTTCTGGTTTCTTAGGAGACAGGGAGGATGAAGGGGGCACTCACACCCAGAACATCTATTCCAACACTCCTGTCTTCATCAGCCTTTGGTTCCTTCCTACACATTATATCAAAAACATTTCTCACATCTAATCCTATTTAGTTAGGCATGACCAAGTCAAATTTAAAAGCAACTTAACATTTAGAACCACTCTGAGTGTGGAAAATCTCACATCGTTTTTCCCCTGCTCTCACACTACAACACCTATCAACATAGAAGACTTCTCTGATGAAATTCAGGGAATTTCTCCAATGAACAAGCAATTGGTTCTGTGATGGACACCAGCTGGGTGTCCTCTAACTCAATTCTGACACTATCTCCCTATATACAGCATCACATCCCATGGGTTGAGGGCCCAGTCCCTATGACTGTCCCCCTCCCACTCCTGATGCTGATCTCAAGCCTCAGATTATTTTGCTTGTGTTTCCAACAGACTTGCTATAAATTAGGGTTCCCACAACTCACTTCTCAGGTTTGATTAATTTGCTAGAATGGCTTACAGAACTCAGGGAAACACTCACATACATTTACCAGTTTATTTTAAAAGATACAAATAAAGAGCCATATGAACAGATACATAGGGCAAGTTCAGAAGTGTCCCCAGTGCAGGAGCTTCTGTCCCATTGGGTTGGGATGCACCACCCTCCCTGGCACATGGCTAAGCTCTTGTTCACCTTCTTCTAAGCCTGCCTGTGTTCAACTATCCAGAAGCTCTCCAAACTCTGCCCTTTTGGGTTTTGATGGAAACTATATTTCGTATGCCTGATTCATTAAATCACTGACTATCAGCTTAACCTTCAGCCTCTCTACTCTCCCTCCCAATGATATGATCCTTATCTAGAAAAACCTAAAGACTCCACCAAAGAACTATTAGATCTGATATATAAATTCAGTAAAGTTGTAGAATGTAAAGTCAACATACAAAAATCAATATAATGTCTATACATTAGTAATGAAGTAGCTGAGAAAGAAATAAACAATTCCATTTACAACAGCTAGAAAAAAATACCTAGGAATAAGTTTAAGCAAGGAAGTCAAAGATCTCTTAAAAAGAAATCTATTCAACACTGATGAAAGAAAGAAGAGGATGCAAACAAACAGAAAGATATTCCATGCTCATGAATCAGAAGAATTAATATTAGTAAAATGACCATACTTCCCAAAGCAATCTAGAGATTCAAGGAACTCTCAATAAAAATATCAATGTTATTTTTCACAGAATTAGAAAAAATAATTCTAATATTCCCATGGAACCAAAAAATAAAAACAGCTGAAATAGCCAAAACAATCCTGAGCAAAAAGAACAAAGCCAGATGCAAAATATATTACAAGGCTATAATAACTAAAACAGAATGGTATTGGTATAAAGACAGACATGTCAATCAATGAGAATAATAGAGAATCCAGAAATAAATCCGTATGTTTAAAGCCAACTGACTTTTAACAAAGGTGTCAAAAACACATGAAAATCAATATCCATATGCAAAAGGATAAAATTAGATCCCTATCACTAACCCTATATAAAAACCAACTCAAGTTGAATTACATACTTAAATGTAAGACCTGAAACTATAAAACAACTAGAAGAACGCCTAGGAGAAACATTCTAGGACACTGGTCTGGTCAAAGATTTTATGGTTAAGACTTTAAAAATACAGAAAACACAAGCAAAAATAGACAACAGGACTATAATAAACTAAAAAGCTTCTGCATAGCAAAGAAAACAATCAGCAGAGTGAAGAGATAACCTGCTGAATGGAAGAAAGTATTTTCAAACCATTTATCTGACAAGGGACTTATATCTAGAATATATAGGAAACTCAAACAACTCAAGAATTAAAACCCAAAATAATCTCATTTAAGAGTGAGCAAAGGAGGAAGGCAGCAAATCACACTGCCACGTGTGTTCCTATGCAACAATTTTGCATGTTCTTCACATGTACCCCAAAATGTAAAATGCAATAAAATAAATGGGAAAAAAAAAAGAGTGAGCAAAGGACATGAACAGACATTTCTCAAAAGAAGACATACAAATGGCCAACAGGAATGAAAAAAAAAAAGCTCAACATCACTAACCATCAGAGAAATGCAAATCAAAACCGCAATGAGATGTCTTCTTACCCCAGATAGAATAGACACAACTAAAAAGACAACAAACAAACAAACAAAAAACAGATGCTGGTGACGTGGAGAAAAGGGAACTCTTACACACTGTTGATAGGAGTTTAAATTAGTATGGCCACTATAGAAAACAGTAAGGAGAGTTTAAAAAAATCTAAATACAGAACCACTACATCATCCACCAATTTGGGATGGGGTGGCAAAACCCTGGAGTTCAGGGGTCAGGGTTGGCAGAGAGCAGGGTCTGGGGGTGCTTGGGTAGCTGCAGGAGAATAAAAGAGGCAGATGTCTGGGTCCCAGAGTATGGAAGCGAGGGAGGTGCGGAGCTGTTCCCAGAGGGCAGGAATTAATAGAAGAATTCTTGAGACCTCTTGGGAATAGGGAGAGTTCAAGCCCTCAGGATCCAGGGCAAGGGGTCAGAAGCTTGGGCCAGGCTCATTGCTGAGCTCTTTGTAACCCACAACCATCTTCAGACTCCAACCTAAGTCACGCACGCATCCTCCGAGAACAACATCTCCTTAGCTCCAGCAGAGTAGCCTGCTCTTTGCCTGTGACCCTCTGGCCCCGGGGCCTGGCATGGTGGCTCCTGCTGTCAAAGGCAATGAGAAGCAGCCGTTCAGCAAGCTCAGTGCTGTGACCCCAGGCCTCGTGGGGCTGGACTATGATACGACAGTAAGGTCCAAGCTTAGAAAGTACAGCCCTGGAACTATTACCCTGGGCCCCTTAGCGTCTGTCCTTAGCTATCTTTTCTTCAGGGGCCTAGGGACTTCTGCTCTACACACACCGCACACACACACACACCTTCTAAAGGGATGCTTCCCATTTTTCTCTCCTCCCTGACTTACTCTTCTTCCTTCTCTTTCTTCTTCTTCTTTCTTTTCTCCTCTTCCTTCTCCTTCTGCTCCTCTTCCTCCTCTCCTCCTCCTCCTTCTCTTCTTCCTTTTTCTTTCTTTCTTCTTTTTATAAAGAAAAATGTTTAATTGACTCACAGTTCCAGTGTCAGGTATGATTCCTTCTTCTCTTATGATCCATTTCTTCTCCCTTCTGCTCCCTGGAGCCTTCCGGCCTCCTGGACAGAGGCTGCTCTCCCTGGACCCCAGGGTTGGCGCTCACAGGCTGATTGCTGGGATGAGCAGCCTCCACCTGAAGAAGCAGCAGCAGGAACAGGGGAGGGGACAGGAGGCCAAGGTCCCATCCTGGAGGCTGAGGGACTAGGTCTTGCGGTAGCAAGGGTTTGGGGGTGGGTCAACCCTAGACCTGATCCTGCTGTTTTGCCCTGGAAGCCTCTCTCTGCCCTGAGATGAAAAGTCCATTCACTCTGTTGCGGGAGAAAACGGTCACATCAACATGGATTTTGGGAAGCTGGATGGACTCAGAGGCTGGGAGGCTCCCGTGTGTGCAGAACCCTGTCCAGGTTCTGGGAGCTGAGTGGGAGCCTGCAAGGACCTGGCTGGGTAGAAAGGGGATCGGGTTCTCTGTCCTCGGCCCTGTGGCCACACGGGGGCGCCGCCGCGCTGCTCTAGGATTCTGACTGCGTGCTCTCTGGCACAGGGCTGCGGGCTGAGTGGGTAGAGGGGGCTGAGCCTGAGGTCACCCACTCGGGGATGGAGATTTCTCGTGAGCAGCTCTGGAATCCACAGGACTCAGGCTAGATTTGCTTGTAACGTGAGGCAATTGTGGAGTAGCAGGATCTGGCTCTAGAATTCTTACGGTGAATACAGTTCTCATAGAATCCAACCAGAATGAGAGTCCAGGGCCTGAGTTGACTGTCCTGGGTACACTCAGCTTTGATGGAGTTGCCAAAAATGTAACTTCGGCACTTGCAGAAATTTCCGTGATTGTTGAAAACACCAAATACTTGTGTACAATTTCATTTCTGGTGGCTCTGGCTGTAATTTGAAAGGGCAGAAAGAGCCATGGAAAGAGGCTGAAAGGCTCCTCTGGGAATTCTCAAGTCCCTTTTCATAGCAGTAACAACTCAGAAGTGACTGGGCAGTGGGAACTAAAGACAGGAGGGTGTGAGGGCTGAGGGGCAGAGAGAAGGGCCAGTGAGCAGGAAGTGAGGAAAAGGAGCAGGGGAAAGAATTCTAAAGCAGTGGAGGAGCTTAGCAGGCGGTTCTTTGCATTTGTATTTAATACATTTTGTGGGACTTCCTAAAAAGTAATGACCTCTTTATGATTAAAAAATAAGGGTTCCAAAAATACCAAGTGTCCAAATGAAATATGCACACTGCTTATGAAATATGCACACTGCTTAGACGTGCATAGTTCACGAAAACAGGCAGTGCTTGAGCGTCGGTGAAGAGCAATGGCGCACTCGCAAGTTTGAGGTGGTGACTACAGGTTGGTTCCCCGTTGCAATATACAGTAAGAAACCCTGCTTCTTTGTATTCAGGAGATGTTCTGGACTCACACAGGGAAACTTGAACTAGGGAATGAAGACAATTTTAAACGCAACAACCCAGAGTCACAGATTCATAGTCGGGGAAAGTAAAACTTAGGCGCTTTGAGAGTTTAATTGTAATGCTTTTTTGGACCCAGGTCTTATACAGATTGGAATCCTAATCATTCAGGGATTACCAGTATTGTGCTACCTACTGTATTAATAAACAAAAAAGAAACTGGTCTCTATGAGAATCTCTGTCTGATGCCTTCAGAAAAAACTTCACCAGGTGTAGAGAGAAAAAACCCTGTCTCTACACCTCCATCCCCAGGGCGAGCTCACTCTCTGGCATCAAGTTCCCTGTGGTGAGTTTCCTTGCACAAGAGTCCGAGGGGAGAGGTAAGGAGTGGGAGGCAGGGAGTCCAGTTCAGGGTCGGGGATTCCAGGAGGAGAAATGAAGGGGAAGGGGCTGGGCGCAGCCTGGGGGATCCCTCCCTGGTTTCCACAGACAGATCCTTGGCCGGGACTCGGGCAGACAGTGTGACAAAGAGGCCTGGTGTAGGAGAAGAGGGATCAGGACAAAGTTCCAGGTCCCGGGAGTAGCTCTAAGGGTCTCAGGTTTCCGGAGCCGGGTCTCCATTGTTGGGGACTCCCCACTCCCCCGGGTTTCACTTCTCCCGACAGGTGTCGGGTCTTTCTTCCAGGATACTCATGATGGGTCATTAGTTCCCACTCCCATGGGGTGCTGCGTTTCTGGAGAAGCCAGTCAGCGTCGCCGCGGTCCCCGTTAGCGGCCAGTCACCCACCCATTCTCCCCAGCTCCGAGGATGGGGTCCTGGCGCCCGGAACCCTCCTCCTGCTGCTCTCGGGGGCCCTGGGCCTGACCGAGACCCGGGCGGGTGAGTGCAGGGTCTGGAGGGAAACGGCCTCTGCTGGGAGGAGCGAGGGGCCCGCCGGGCGGGGGCGCAGGACCCGCGGAGCGGCGCTGGGAGGAAGGTCGGGCAGGTCTCAGTCCCTCCTCGCCCCCAGGCTCCCACTCCTTGAGGTATTTCTACACCTCTGAGTCCCCGCCCGGCCGCGAGGAGCCCCGCATCATCTCAGTGGGCTACGTGGAAGACGCGCAGTTCCAGAGGTTCGACAGCGACGCTGCGAATCCGAGAGGGGAGCCGCGGGCGCCGTGGGTGGAGCAGGAGGGGCCGGAGTATTGGGACCTGCAGACACCGAGAGTCAAGGCCCAGGCACAGACTTTCCGAGTGAACCTGCGGACCCTGCGCGGCTACTACAACCAGAGCGAGGTCGGTGAGTGACCCCGGCTCGGGGCGCAGGTCACGACCCCTCCACATCCCCCACGGACTGCTCGGGTCTCCCCGAGTCTCCGGGTCCGAGATCCACCCCGAGGCTGCGGGACCCGCCCAGACCCTGGACGCGGGAGAGCCCCAGGTGCCTTTACTCGTTTGTATTTTCAGTTTAGGCCGAAATCCCCACGGGTTGGTCTGGGCGGGGGCGGTGTTTGGTGACCGCGGTGGGGCGGGGCTGGGGTCACCAAGGCTCAGACCACTCAGCCCAAGTGGGAGGCCGCTGGTGAGGCTGAGAGGCTGGGAGCCTACCTGGAGGGCACGTCCATGGAGTGGCTCTGCAGACACCTGGAGAACGGGAAGGAGACGCTGCAGCGCACGGGTACCAGGGGCAGTGGGGAGCCCTCCCCATCTCCTGTAGATCTCCCGGGCTGGCCTCCCGAGAGGAGGGGAGGGAAATGGGATCCGCGCTAGAATATCGACCTCCCTTGAATGGAGAATGGCATGAATTTTCCTGAGTTTCCTCTGAGGGCCCCCTCTGCTCTCTAGGACAATTAAGGGATGACGTCTCTGAGGAAATGGAGGGGAGACAGTCCCTGGAATACTGATCAGGGGCCCCCTTTGACCCCTGCAGCACCCTTGGGCACTGTGACTTTTTCTCACAGACCTTATTCTCTGCCTCACACTCAATGTGTTTATTTAAAGTTCTGATTCCAGCTTTTCTGAGTCCTTCTGTCTCCACTCAGGACCAGAAGTCACTATTCCTTCCTCAGAGGCTACAACTTTCCAAGGAATAGGAGATTATCCCAGGTGCCTGTGTCCAGGCTGGTGTCTGGGTTCTGTGCTCCCTTTCCCATCCCAGGTGTCCTGTTCATTCTCAGGAGGGTCACATGGGTGCTGCTGGGGTGTCCCATGAGAGGTGCAAAGTGCCTGAATTTTCCGACTCTTCCCATCAGACTCCCCAAAGACACATGTGACCCACCACCCCATCTCTGACCATGAGGCCACGCTGAGGTGCTGGGCCCTGGGCTTCTACCCTGCGGAGATCACACTGACCTGGCAGTGGGATGGGGAGGACCAAACTCAGGACACGGAGCTTGTGGAGACCAGGCCAGCAGGGGATGGAATCTTCCAGAAGTGGGCAGCTGTGGTGGTGCCTTCCAGAGAGGAGCAGAGACACATGTGCCATGTGCAACTTGAGGGGCTGCCGGAGCGCCTCGCCCTGAGATGGGGTAAGGAGGGGAATGGGGGGGAATCACGCCTCTTCTCAGAAAAAGCAGGAGCCCTTCTGGAGCCTTTAGCAGGGTCAGGACTGAGACCTGGGGTCAGGGACCTTCACGTTTCTCTCCTTTCCCAGACCTGTCTTCCCAGCTCACCATCCCCATCATAGGCATTGTTTCTGGCCTGGGTGTCCTAGGAGCTGTGGTCACTGGAGCTGTGGTCATTGCTGTGATGTGTAGGAAAAAGAGTTCAGGTAGGGGAGGGATGAGGAGTGGGTTTTCTTGTCCAGTTGGGGGTTTCAAGCCCCAGGTAGAAGTATTCCCTGCCTCCTTACTGGGAAGCACCATCCACATGTGGGCTGACCCACCCTGGGGCCCTGTGTGCCAGCACTTAATTCTTTTGTGAAACACATGTGACAATGAAGGACAGATGTATCACCTTGATGATTGCGGTGTTGGGGTCCTGATTCCAGCATTCACAAGTCAGGGGTAGGTCCCTGCTAAGGACAGACCTTAGGAAGGCAGTTGGTCCAGGACCCACACCTGCTTTCCTTGTGTTTCCTGATCCTGCCCTGGGTCTGTACTCATAGTTCTGGAAACTTCTCTTGAGTCCAAGACCAGGAGGTTCCTCTAAGATCTCATGGCTCTGCCTCCTCCCTGTCCCTTCACAGGACATTTTCTTCCCAAAGGTGAAGATAGAGGGAGCTACTCTCAGGCTGCGTGTAAGTGGTGGGGGTGGGAGTGTGGAGGAGCTCACCCACCCCATAATTCCTCCTGTCCCACATCTCCCTCGGGCTCTCACCAGGTCCTGTTTTTGTTCTACCCCAGGCAGTGACAGTGCCCAGGGCTCTAATGTGTCTCTCACAGCTTGTAAAGGTGAGGCCTTGGGGAGCCTGAAGTGGGTGGGGGTTGAAGAAGAGGGGATAGGACTGGGTAATGTGGATTCTTTGATTGGGACATTTCAAGTGTGTGGTGGACTGTTCAGAGTGTCATCACTTACTGTGACTGTTCTGAATTTTTTCATGACTATTGTTTTCTGTAGCCTGAGACAGCTGCTTGTGTGGGACTGAGATGTGGGATTTCTTCACGCCTCCCCTTTGTGACTTCAAGAGCCTCTGGCATCTCTTTCTGCAAAGGCATCTGAATGTGCCTGCATCCCTGTTAGCATAATGTGAGGTGGTGGAGAGATAGCCCACCCCGTGTCCACCGTGACCCCTGTCCCCACGCTGACCTGTGTTCCCTCCCCAGTCATCTTTCCTGTTCCAGAGAAGTGGGGCTGGGTGTCTCCATCTCTGTCTCAGCTTCATGGTGCACTGAGCTGCAACCTCTTACTTCCCTACTGAAAATAAGAAACTGAATATAAATTTGTTTCTCAAATATTTGCCATGAGAGGTTGACGGGTTAATTAAATAAGTCGTTTCCTAAAATTTGACAGAGGAAATAAAGACCTGAGAACCTTCCAGGATCTGCATGTTCGCTGTGCTGAGTCTGTTGCAGGTGGGAATGGAGAAGGCTGTAGGAGCTGAGTGTGGACGGGGCCTGTGCCCAGTTGCTGTTGAGTCCATCATGGGCTTTATGTGGTCAGTCCTCAGCTGGGTCAGCTTCACTGCTCCATTGTCCTTGTCCCTTCAGTGGAAACTTGTCCAGCAGGAGCTGTGACCACAGAGGCTCATACATTGCCCACAGTGGCCCCTGCACATGGGAGTCTCTGTTTCTGAGATAAATTTTCAGATCCATTCAGCTCCTGCCCTCCTTCTAGGGCTCCTCTTCTGCTCTGCTCTCCTGCCCTCTCTCCCTGTCCTGGTTCCAGTGATCTTGGTGCTGGCTCCAATCCCAACTCATGAACTATAAAGCAGAGGCTAATTTAGACTTACATTTGTTTGTGAAATTGGATCCATCATGAAGGACTGTTCCTCCCTGAAGAGAGAAACCTGATTACGTGCTGCAGTGTGCGGCGGGGGAGGGGGAGGGTTGGTGTGGGAGGAGGGTTGGAGGTGGGAGGAGGGTTGGAGGTGGGACACCACAGGCAGCCCTGCTGAGAAAAGCACAGATGGTCTGGATGTCAGTTTGAGGAGACCTTGTGCTGTAGCTGCCACAAAACAGCACTTGGCCTGAGTCTATGTTAACAAAGATACTTTCTTTAGAATAGGAGGTGCTCTACAGTGATCATTCATTCAACTGACCTTTGTTGTCTGCCAGACATAGGACAGAATGGTTCTGCATCTGGGGAACACTATTGAAATAAAATCAGAAAAATCTCTGACCTTGTGGAGCATGTGTTTCAGTGGGAAGAGGCAGACGACAGATATACTATAAGCAGAGTAAGGAAGGAAAGTGCTAGAAGGTGGGAAGTGCTGTGAGGCAGGTGATCCAGGATGTGGGCAGTGAGGACAGGGAAGGTGGCTGTTGCACAGCAGTGGTCAGTGTGTGCCTTGTTGCAAAGGTGACCTTTGAGGAAAGATTTGAGGGACATGAGGATGTCTGGGGAAGTTCTTTCTAAGCAGGGGACCTCCAGCAAATGCACTAAGGCAGGAAGGTGTCTATGTTCCCAGAAGAGCAAGGAGGCCAGGAGGGCTGGACAGAGAGAAGCTAGATGAGGTCAGTGGTATGGCTTCAGGGGATTGGGGTTGGATCTGATCTTTGCTCCGAGTGGGATGAAGAGTTGGAGGACAGTTTTGAGAAGAGGGCTATGATATGACTTCTCTTTTATGTGTGTGTATGTATGTATTTATTCTCTTTTTTATTATTATACTTTAAGTTCTGGGGTACATGTGCAGAATGTGCAGGTCTGTTACATCAGTATTCACGTGTCATGGTGGCTTGCTGCATCCATCACACTGTCATCTACATTAGGTAATTCTCCTAATGCTATCCCTCCCCTATTACCCCACCCCCTGCTACCCCTTCCCTAGACCCCATCTCCTGACAGGCCCTGGTGTGTGATGTTCCCCGCCTTGTGTAAATGTGTTCTCATTGCTTAACACCCATTTATGAGTGAGAACATGTGGTGTTTGGTTTTCTGTTCTTTATTAGTCTGACCAGTGGTCTATCTATTTTGTTGATCTTTTCAAAAAACCAGCTCCTTGATTCATTGATTTTTTTTAAGTGTTTTTTGTGTCTTTATTTCCTTCACTTCTGCTCTGATCTTAGTTATTTCTTGTCTTCTGCTAGCATTTGAATTTGTTTGTTCTTGCTCCTCTAGTTCTTTTAAATGTGACATTAGGGTGTTGATTTTAGATCTTTCCTCCTTTCTCTTGTGGGCATTTAGTGCTATAAATTTCCCTCAGCATACTGCTTTAAATGTGTCCCAGAGATTCTGGTATGTTGTGTCTTTGTTCTCATTGGCTTCCAAGAACATCTTTATTTCTACCTTTATTTCATTATTTATCCAGTAGTCATTCAGGAGCAGGTTGTTCAGTTTCCATTTGGTTGCATGGTTTTGAGTGGGTTTCTTAATCTTGAGTTCTAATTTTATTGCACTGTGGTCTGAGAGACTGTTATGAGTTCCATTATTTTGCATTTGCTGAGGAGTGTTTTATTTCCAATTATGTGGTCTATTTTAGAACAAGTGTGATGTGGTTCTGAGAAGAATGTATATTCTGTGGATTTGGGGTGGAGAATTCTGTAGATGTCTATTAGGTCCGCTTGGTCTAGATCTGAGTTCAAGTCCTGGATATACTTGTTAATTTTCTGTCTCATTGATCTGTCTAATATTGACAGTAGAGTGTTAAAGGATCCCACAATTAATATGTGGGAGTCTAAGTCTCTTTGTAGGTCTCTAAGAACTTGCTGTATGAATCTGGGTGCTCCTGTGTTGGGTGCATATATATTTTGGATAGTTAGATCTTCTTGTTGCATTGATCCCTTTACCATTATGTAATGCCCTTCTTTGTCACTTTTGATCTTTGTTGGTTTAAAGCCTGTTTTATCAGAGACTAGATTTGCAACTCCTGCTTTTTTTTTTTTTTTGCTTTCCATTTGCTTGGTAAATATGCCTCCATCCCTTTATTTTGAGCCTATGTGTGTCTTTGCATGCGAGATGGGTCTCCTGAATACAGTGCCCGATGGGTCTTGACTCTCTCCAATTTGCCAGTCTATGTCTTTTAATTGGGGCATTTAGTTCATTTACATTTAAGGTTCATATTGTTATGTGTGAGTCTGATCCTGCCATTATGATGCTAGCTGGTTATTTTGCCCATTAGATGATGCAGTTTTTCATTGTGTTGATGGTCTTTCCAATCTGGTATGTTTTTGCAGTGTCTGGTACTGGTTGTTCCATTCCATGTTTAGTGCTTCCTTCAGGAGCTCTTGTAAGGCAGGCCTGGTGGCAACAAAATCTCTCAGCAGTTGGTTGTCCATAAAGGATTTTTTTTCTCCTTTGCTTAAATCTTAGTTTGCCTGGTTATGAAATTCTAGGTTGAAAATTCTTTTCTTTAAGAAAGTTGAGGCTGGGCATGATGGCTTATGCCTGTAATCCCAGCACTTTCAGAGGCCGAGGTGGGCATATCATCTGAGGTCAGGAGTTCGAGACCAGCCTACCCAACATGGTGAAACCCCATCTCTACTAAAAATACAAAAATTAGTCAGGTGTAGAGGCAGGCACCTGTAATCCCAGTTACTTGGGAGGCTGAGGCAGGAGACTCATTTGAATCTGGGAGGTGGAGGTTGCAGTGAGCCAAGATCAAGTCATTGAACTCCAGCCTGGGATACAGAGTGAGACTATGTCTCAAAAAAAAATGTTGAATATTGGCCTCTTTTGGCTTGTAGGTTTTCTCCCGAGAGATCTACTGTGAGTCTGATGGGCTTCCCTTTGCGGATAACCAGACCTTTCTCTCTGGCTGCCCTTAGCATTTTTTCCTTCATTTCAATCCTGGTGAATCTGATGATTATGTGTCTTGGGGTTGTTCTCAGAGAGTATCTTTGTGGTGTTCTCTGTATTTCAATGTTGGCCTGCCTTGCTAGGTTGAAGAAGTTCTCCTGGATAATATCCTGAAGCATGTTTTCCAACTTGGTTTCATTCTGTCCGTCACTTTCAGGTACACTGATCAAGTATAGATTGGGTCTTTTCATGTCATCTCATATTTCTTGGAGGATATGTTCATTTCTTTTCACTCTTTTTTCTCTAATCTTATCTTCTCACTTTATTTCATTGAGTTGATCTTCAATCTCTGATATCCTTTTTTCCACTTGATCGATTTGGCTATTGACACTTGTGTATGCTTCATGAAGTTCTCATGCTGGGTTTTTCAGTTCTATCAGGTTGTTTATGTTCTTTCTAAACTAGTTATTCTAGTTAGCATTTCATCCATATTTTTCAAGGTTCTTAGCTTCCTTGCATTGGATTAGAACATGCTGCTTTAGCTCGGAGAAGTTTGTTATTACCCACCTTCTGAAGCCTGCTTCTGTCAATTTGTCAAACTCATTCTCTGTCCTGTTTTGTTTCCTTGCTGGTGAGGAGTTGTGATCCCTTGGAGGAGAAGAGGCATTCTGGTTTTTGGAATTTTCAGCCTTTTTCCACTGGTTTCTTCCCATCTTTGTGGATTTAGCTACCTTTGGTCTTTGAGTCAGCGACCTTTGGAATGGGTCTCTGAATGGACATCCTTTCTGTTGATGTTGAGACTATTTCTTTCTGTTTGTTATTTTTCCTTCTAACAGTCAGGCCCCTCTGCTGTAGGTATGCTGGGGTTTGCTGGAGGTCCACTCCAGATCCTACTTGCCTGGAAATCACCAGCAGGGCCTGCATAACAGCAAAGATTGCTCCCTGTTCCTTTCTCTGGTAGCTTCATCTCAGAATGGTACTCACCAGATGCCAGCCAGAGCTCTCCCATACGGAGTGTCTGTTGGCCCCTACTGGGAGGTATCTCCCAGTCAGGATACACAGGGGTCAGGGAGCCACTTGAGGAGGCAGTCTGTCCCTTATCAGAACTGGAATGCTGTGCTGGGAGATCTGCTACTCTATTCAGAGCTGCCAGGCAGGAATGTTTAAGTATGCTGAAGCTATACCCACAACAGCTTCCTGTACCTAGGTTCTCTGTCCCAGGAAGGTGGGGGCTTTTATAAATCCCTGATGGGCTGCTGCCTTCTTTTCAGAGATGCCTTGCCCAGTAAGGAGGGAGTCTAGTGACACAGTCTGCCTACAGAGGCCTTGCTAAACTGCTGTGGGCTCCACCCAGTTTGAACTTCCCAGTGACTTTGTTTACACTGATGTTAAAACCACCTACTGGAGACTCAGCGATGGTAGACGCCCTCCCACCACCCCTCACCAAGCTCAAACATCCCAGGTCAAGCTCAGACTGCTGTGTTGGCTGTAAGAATTTAAGCTAGTGGATCTTAGCTTGTTGGTCTTCGAGGGAGTAGGACCCACCGAGGCAGATCACTTGGCTCCCTGGCTTCAGCCCCCTTTTCAGGGGATTGGTAAATGGTTCTGTCTTGCTTGCATTCCAGGCACCACTGGGGTGTGAGA